CGGAATGATTTTCCACTAATCACACAGAGTCTCATAATATCACTAAAAGCGGACGATAATTGTCTCTTGACTTGCTAGTGAGTAACCAGTTTGTCCCAGAAAATTGGGTTCCGTATATCCGTCACAAAGTCCACTAACGGTCGGTCGATGTGCTTAAGTTCTTCGACTTTATTTCGTGAAGCTGCCGTAACAACCTTCCCGAAGGATAGCAATCACCGTCAGCCTGCGAACAATGTCAGTTACTTTTTCCCTCAGCTCAGTAAACGGACGTGTTTAAACCTAACGGAACCGCCCTTGATTTTTACTGAGCAGATTCTGTGGTTGTTGGCAAAATAGCCGCCATCGTCTCATCTCTTTACTTTCGTTATCCAGGTCACTTGGCACGGATACGTACACTGCGCTTTCGAAGGAATTTCATGGCCTCCTTTTTCTGTCGATTCTCTACAGTTTATATTGGACCTGATGACTTCCAATTTATTTGCAACCGGAATCCATTTCAAACAATTGGAAGGACATCCTTGGGACTTATTTCGCTTTTATTTCCGCCAGGGCATGTTGTATAACGCAGAGGAAACTTACACTTTCACGAAAGGACTGGTTTATGTAGCCTGTAAAGTGTACCCGTATGATCGACAGCGCACAACGCTTCTCATTCTTTTGTTTTCTCGTCTTCCAATGTCGTAATGTGATCGTCCTTCTGAGAGTCCTAAATTGAGTGGCTTTACTTTTTACGACTTTTGCAATCCACCTTTTGTACATCTTGCTGTCATCGCCTGTGCGCTGCACAACCTGAGTTTTCGCCTTATTTTCACACTCCAAACGCCTGAATTGACAGGCCTTCACAGTGGCCTGGACCGGCAGAATCAGGTTGCGCTCATGTTGTGTACTGGCTGTGAGCGAGGGGTTCAAATGACACCGCTTTGGCTTTGATCATTCTTAACACAAGTTTGTTTGACCACTAAGGTACCTCTTCCTGAGTCACACTGGGCTGTTCACTTCACTGCGTTAATATCTCCCGCCGCTTGCATGCTTATCCGAAGAACTGACTGTTCTCGATTGACAGCATAAGGCAAATGGTGGGCACGATATTTAACGAGTCTCTCTGTTGATGCCGATGTTTACATTGAGAATTTGTTAATCGTAGTATCGGTAACTTGTCTAACCCCCCTCATATTTCTTGTCATCTTTCTTTCACCGCAGCCCTGGCAACTTCAAGTCCCTAAGAGCGTCCCAATAGTCCAGACTCGTTCCATCCGTTATCCAACCAATATCCGTGTGAATGAGTATAATATTCTCGACTCCGCTGTGATTCGTCGCATTTCAGGGTCCAATGTACCCCGGATACCGACTAAATGTTTGTTTATGCACTATCGTCACCAGCAGCCTTTCAATCAACCTATTGTATGACGTCAGATTACCAGATCGCTTTTCCACTACTCCCTCGTATTTTGCCTTTCCGCAAGCGTAATCGTGCCTTTTCCCTATCTACCTGGCTCTATGCGCATGTAATCTGTGTTTCCTCTATGTGATCAGCTGCTTCTTAAGTGAATAGATCATTCGTTAGTTTGAATTCTGTTTGCTTGTTTTCGGAAGTTATTGTGGAATCAATTAATAACGCCTCTTCGTTGTCCGGTTGCATTAACTAAACATACCCGTTTCAAAACCAGCTCTAAACTAAAACAAAAGTCAAATTGACTTTCACACCACAACCTTGCCCACTAACTTTTTAGCGTCAGTGCCGCCCCAGAGGAAGCACCGTATTTTGAGGTACAGTTCACTCCAGGATTCACCACAGGTAACCCCTTGGTAGGGACACCTAACCAAAGTTCAGAGAGGGCGCATGAAGCACCTCTTAGCTCCCCACAGCGCCTGTTGGAGTACTGCTGTCAAGAAGAGGCTATCGGGTTCAAGTTCATCTCCAGACCGCTGATCTTCAGAGACGGTGACACTATGACGAATACTTGCTGAAAGTGTTCGATGAAAATTTTATGCACTCAGAAAGTAAAATACCTTAGACTACTGTGTAAGCATTCGCTTTCATCCTTTAGAACTAACATGTATGACCAATCTCGGCTCTCGTCCGGCAAGGGTGAATAATTCACTCTATTTCTGCTCTGGATGACTCCCTTCAGTTGTTGGATTTGGGTGGCGTGTAGGTTAATAATCCAACGAAAGCGCACCGTATTTTCACACGGACAGCCTGCAGCTCACGTTATGTTCACATCCTACAACAGGTACCAGCAGCTTGAATAAAATTGTTAACACCCAAAGGATTTCATGGCAAGCGGCCGAGTAAAACAGCAACAGGTAGGCAACAGCTCAAGACCATTCATTCTAGCCGGCTAGGAGAGGTATTACTTTTGAAGGCTTCTATGTGCCGCGGTTTTGAGTTATGTGCAACCTTGGTCTTCAGCCCTGAAGAACGGTGTGAGTTGCTAGAAAAGGGACTACCGGTTTGTCACCAGGACTGAGTCCAACGAAATATCCCCCAGAAACTCTCGGAAAGAACACGAATGTCGCCTTCTGGCGGTATGATGGGTGGGTTTACAATGGTACCCCAGCGCCACAAAGAGAGTTTACCTTCTAGTTCTTGGTGATTGGGATTACAGCTCTTGCCACGAGTCGGAATCGATTGCCAAGAGGCGGATTAGAGTATTCAGTGAAAAAGCTGGTTAGGCTTATGGTCTTTGCAAATGCATTTATATGGCTACTCATCCGCCGAACTGACCATGTCAGCAACGCGCATGAAGCACGTACATTGCAAGTGGTGTTGACCGAGACAAGTGACTAGAGGAAACCGTGGAAAGCCGTATGGAAATCAGTGCTCCATTCGAGGCACACTCTGCGAATGTCTAGAGACGTTACTTCCACCAAGTCCGTCTTTAGATACCTGAGCTGTTCCCATTTGGTTATTTTGGGATTTATATTCGATAGTATGTCAACAAATGGGCTGGCTGTACAAAGTTGCATTTTCGGTTGGACGAAAGTCCTTGCTCTCAGCCGACTACCTATATATCTGTACGTGTTGAGTACTTCCACTGCGTAATTGGCACCAGCAGCCGGAATCAAGATACTGCGTAACTATGTATGAATTCTGAGGCCGTATTACCACTACTAACACGTGAAAAAGTATCGACTAATTTGTCAACATCCTGTTCAGTTTTTTTTGCTGACACGTCATTTCTCATTTAGAGTTCGGTTGAAAAAATCAGCTACTTCAAGACTAATGAAAGGCGTCTGAAAAATCACGATTTCGTGACATTTTGATACCGCTCAAACGACTGATAAAGATACCAAAGTTTTAAAAATGAGAAGAGTTGCCTTTAGCAAAAGGTTAACCCGCTTTCAATCACAGTTAATTTCAACAGGATTCATTCATTACTTCACCCGAAGCATATTCAAATAGTTCAAAAGCTGAAATGACACGACGCTCTCGCAGTTTAAAGAACCCTAGCACTNCTGAAATGACTCGACGCTCTCGCAGTTTAAAGAACCCTAGCACTCTGATGGCTAGCAGTCCCTTTACCGTTGCAACCAAGTATGGGAGGAAGGTTTTTTTTAACTTATATGGTTAAAATTAATTACCAATTAACGTCCTGATGTCGTCCGTTTTTCAATCTGTGCAATTATTACCTGAGTTATTCCAAAGCACCCATTAGGCGTAAGTATTCTTTTCCGTAAAATGGGTTCGCAAGGCCGTGACAATGCCAATGATACCAGCTTACTTTCCTATGCATCCGACTACTTTTGTTAAAACAACCACAAAGCATACTGTTTGGTTTGCATCATGAGAAAAACATCATAGATTTTACCCCATAACCTACCACGGATCAAAACATTCACGTAGCGAACTGTTTTTGTGGCGAAAACCATGATGTTTGTGAAGGCATCAGCTACCGTGGAGTATGAAATTCCTAAAGCTTGCAAGGTTTGTGGAAGACTGCACTGAAAGTGTACTAACCATCTAATAAGTTACCGGTTGGTTTGCATGGAACGGTGTTTTCAGTCGCAGCAGAGACAGCGAAGACGCAAAGAAGTATTTTGTCGGAGGTTTCGTCCTTTAAGTGGAGGTCAATGCTGAAAAAAACCGATATACATCTCTTCTACCCTTATTGGTAATCATCACCCACACAAACACTACCGTACGGCTGCATTTGGAACAGTTTTCTTGGATCTATTCTAGCCTACACCGTTGATCTGCATATCAATCGCTTGCTCTCCGCAAGCTAAATTGATCTGTATAACTTCTGAAATCCCGTCAGTCGCCGTTGAGGAGCTACGGATATTGGGATCTGGCTCACGTCACGGATTCCACATACACGCACATAACTACCCGCAGTCTCCGAAGATACTCCATGTTGCCTACACGAAACGGTAGTCCTCGACAAGTTCTATCCTTTGCAACCACTTCTGCAAATATCGGTGAAGATTTATGGACGCTATCGAGAAATCTGTCCGCGCAAGTTTCACCATTGAATCCCTCTTCGTTGCGGATCGCTAATCACTGGCCTTCCGAGTTGACTGCGTTCACAACTCTGCTAACCGGCTAACGCACACGCTAGTCCGAGTGTAGACGCAAAACCGACACACACTCGCAATTTCGCTATCTAACCTGCCCTACACACAAGCCCAAACATGTCCAAACGCGTCACCCGTTCTATAGCATCAACATTAACGAGAGCGTCGACAGCGCGCACGATAACAAAAAAATTCAACGCGACCCATGTATGACTTGTTCTGACCCGGTGAGTCTCAATACGCCCTCAGTTCAATGTTGTTTTTGTAAACTGCATGTGCACGCCCGTTGTGATAGAACATTAACTGATGCAACGGTGCAGATGGTTAATGATGCCAGTCACCCTTCAGTATGTTATCTATGTGTCACTTGTCGAGATAACATCTTGAATAACGGCAGCCAAAATGCGAACACAAATGACATCAGCAAAAGGAATGACCTATTGGAGATTAGACTGGGCTCATTAGAGAACCAACTAAAACATATCAAAGAGCTGTTACAACCACGTGAGTCTGGGCCGGTGGGGGGAGTGGAGCATGTTGGATTAACAAAGAACTCCATACCTCTGTTACAAACTGATGTAGTAACGTCAAAAAAGGCCATTGAATCCAAAACTATGTCGCTCAGTAATAACCGGAAAGCATCATCGGGACTTAGTGTTATTTGCACTAATGTCACAGAACCTTGCGATACGTTATTACAAGCGAGGCACAAGCGCGAACTGGAGGAGTGGTTCAAACTTTGCGCTAAAATGAAGTTAAAACCTATCGAACCAGTTTCCCTAACACGATTAAGTCGACCACCGAATTCGCCACATAACGGTAAGCCAAGACTTCTCAGAGTTACCGTTAATACCGAGAAAGACCTGGAGAGCATTCTATTATCAGCATTCCAACTTAGGGGGGAAGCTGACAATGGCGAAAGGATTTTCGCTGATATACCGTGGTCGGAAAGATCGCGCAAAAATACACCTCATCCTACAAACTCAACCAACAAACATACAAATGACCGCAGTTTGATCATCTTGGGTGTTCCGGAACCCAACAAAACGTCAGATAAAATAGCGCAAAACACACACGACTACATGCAGTGGCAATTTCTATGCAGTACACTTGAAATTGAAAACGTGGCCGTGGTTGATACTTATCGGATTCCGAAATCACCAAAATATTTGGGTACCGGCCCGAGGCCCCTGAAACTCACACTACTTCGTGGTGATATGCTAAACTTAATCCAAACACAATGGCAACGTCACAGGAACTTACTCCCTAGGGAGTTAAGGATAAGCACATCCATGCGGAACAATATACCCACAGAAGAGACCAAGGTTAATGAAGATGAAGCCGTAGGTGAAACTTCAAAAAACGACCAGCTGCCGACTCTGCCAGGGTCGGCACAATTATAACCGCCCAACCTGCACATTATCTTGCGTACTGCCCAACACTGCTGTCAATAAACACCATTAAATGTTTATACACGAACGCGCAATGCTTGACTAACAAGATTCCAGAATTATCTGAATTGTGTGAAAAGCATTTGCCAAACTTGATTGCTATCAGCGAGACTTGGTTCCAGCCACACTTATCGGATAGTGAACTTGCCATCCCTGGAATGACGCTTCTTCGTCGGGATCGCATTTCTCGGGGAGGTGGTGTAGCTATTTACCATAGCAGGCAACTATTGTGCAAAGAGCTAACTGATGAAGATTTGATACTATCGGATACCTTGTGGTGCTCGTTAAAGACGGTAGCAGGAAACGACTGTGTTGTTGGTGTGATCTATCGACCACCTTCAGCGGAGGAACTGCACAATTACACCATAATGGAGAAGCTGCGCCTCGTGGCTTCCCGGTATAAAAGTAAGATACTAATTATGGGTGATTTCAATCTCCCAAACTTGCTACGGACTCAACAACATCCGATAAATTCCCTCGATTGTGCCTTCCAGGAGACGTTACATGATCTTGACTTTCACAATCATATATCATGCAACACGCGGTATAGAG